TAATCAATTGTAACCATGGTAAAAATCAAATTACCATATGCAAAATAATAATTTAAAATTTAAGAAAATTAATTTAACTCATCTAAACAAAATATTTAAAAAATAATAATTTTAAATTAAAGTAATTTAAATTTTAAATTTTCAAAATTTTTAAATTTCTAAAATATCTTTTCTAAACACAACATACAAGTATTATATGCAAGTAAATGATGGAATGGAATTCCATCCTTAGAAATTAATAGAAAATTTCATCCATAAACATCATTAAAACAAGAAGAAAAACATAAGTATATACATATACTCTATTAAAATGAGACTTTTAAAAAAATAATTAAAAGTAAATTTATTAGAGATTAAGTTCAAAATGAACAATATTATATTAATGTGAACATGTGTGAATCAATACTAGATAAACCAAAATAAGATATAACATTCATTTTGAAATTTGAGTTTTGTGTAAGAGCGTCTATTTTTTATGTGATGGTCATTGAGCACAAGAGTGACAAAGAGTAAAGGTTGTTCTCTATTACATTTATGTTGGGCATGAGAGGGTTCACGTCGAGCATTATTGCAAATTTGTTGGACATAATAAGGATCACAATTTGCAAGCTCCTTCCAAAGAGCAATGTGTGCTCCTTGTCTAGACTACGTCAAGTGTAGGGTACCCCACGTTGGACATTACCCTGTTCATGCATAATTAATAGTTTATATGTTTGTGATTATATTTTAATGAGTGTAATAATAATGAACGACTATGTGGATTAATGAAGTATACTAAATATATGCATTTGTTAATGATAATGGTTTCTTGATGACATGTATGAAATATGTGAAGTGTTGTGTGTCGATCATGTGATGGTCATATGTGATGTGAAGTCTAAACTAAAACTTAGTTGCAATGTGATTATTGTGACATTTAAATTAACCATGTGATGATGAATATGTATTGAGTCTTGTGTAACATGTATCATGTGCATAAATTACTTCTATGATAGGTACTATATAAAATACATTGCTAAAGAAGGTCCCCCTTGTGTAAAAGCTTGAGGATTCTTGAGGATAGTCAAATTTGAGAGCATCAATTCCACCTGTATATATACGTGAGATGTAACTTATGCAACACCTCTATCTATATATTCTCCTAGTGTAGAGTATCATGATGACTTGACTCGACATGTTCTTATAGACTATTCTATGTGTGACTTAGGGCAAATGTTGAAATTTTACTAATGTCACATACGTGTAGTCTAGGGAGTTTATGTCCATTGCATTGTTGTGGTTTTAATGGATATGTGTTGAATGGATGTAAATTATAAATATTGTTTATGATGGATTGTTGGAAACTAGACTATGCAATTGCTTACTTATTGATCCTTGCATGTGACATGTATAAGTCATGCTTTGTTGTGTGTGGTTATCTAACCATATCTTACACGGGTAGCTAGAATAAGATGTTTCTCACTCCCCTTTCTCTTTGATGGTGTTTTGGTATATATTTCCAGGTGAGGTTCATCATAAGGGTGATGAGGTTAGAGACAAGACATGGGCCTTGTGTTGAGTTATGCTTTGATAAGATATGACATCGAGGTAGTAATTAGAATTACATTTCAATTAACTGATTTTTATGTTAAGGCTTGATGTTAGGTTTTGTTTTGTAATTACTTTACTAGATCTCATATTTGTTTATTATTTTAGTTTCATTCGTATATGATACTTCTACTCAAAGAAATTACACTATTTAGTGAAGTTATTTTCAAAATTCTTTATGTGACTATTAATTATAAGTCTATATTAGCATGTGGGGTAGATGGTGTCACATGAAAATTTTCATGGCTTTAAGCTCTAACTTTTCTCCCCTACAAGGATTGGGATGAGGCTTTTGGGTGGGGGTTAAAGGGAAAAGAAGAAAGGGCACGTGGAATAAGGAAAAAGGAGGAGAGGAAGATTTTTTTTTTCAAATTTGAGACTCTCTCTTTGTGTTTTTAGAAAGACATTTGAAACTTTACTTAGGTGTTTCTTTTACTTTTGTTTTTCACTAAACTCTTACTCTTTTTATTATTATTTTTATTTCTAATCTCATGATGTTACTAGCTCTCACAGACTCTTATCCACTTAAATTTGCACAATACCATAATCTACAAATATATCATATGTCATTCTAAACATTACAAATTTAACAAAATATCTCAAGTGTTAAAATCAATACCACAAAAACTCAAATATGTAATTAGTACTCAACTTTCACAAATGAGACACTCACAAAGACACAAACAAAAAACTTGAGTTTAATTTTTGTCCTTTGATAATAAATGAATGTGTCGATTTATTATGTAATCTCATGGTGTTTCTTTTATTTTTGTTTTTCACTAAGCTCTTACTTTTTTTATATTTTTAATTTCATGATGTTACTAGCTCTCTCACACACTCTTACTCACTTAAATCACAATACCATAATCTACAAATCTATCATATGTCATTCTCAACATTACAAATTTAACAAAATATCTCAAGTGTTTAAAACCAACACCATAAAAACTCAAATATGTAATTAGTACTCAATTGTTATAAATAAGAGACACTCATAATGAGACAAACAAAAAACTTGAGTTTAATTTTTGTCCTTTGATAATAAATGAATGTGTTGATTTCAAACTAAAAAGATAAGTTTAATGAATTATGTAACGCCTAATTTTGTATAATATAAAACATAATATTATATATATATATATATATATTTGTATATATGTATAGGTTGTTAAAACAAGTATATATATATATATATATATATATATATATATATAATTTATATTAT